TTTGTGTTTCCATTTTATTCCGCTGCGTATTTTGGTCTTCTAGTATTTGTTCCTATACAAAGGTTATTCCTCTTTTTATCCCCATCACCGAAAAGTTGAATGTTGTAAGATTTTAAACTTTAATGAAAACCCCATACTGCCCCTTTGCTGTGTAGTTATTTCGAACGAGCAAAGTGTGTTCATTTTTTGTTGTTGTTTTATTTAATTATGCCTGTTTACTTTCAAACTTCGTCTTGACAGAATAACCCATTTTGTTTCTTTCGAGTTCTCATGGAGATATCTATGTATATTTTTTCAATGAAAGATTGCATAAAATAATATGATTTACACATTAATCAGGTTTTTTCTTTTAAATATCTGCAAAATATGATCTCTTGTTATCATCTAATTGTAATTTCTTCTCGTTTCTTATGACTTGGTGTCTTATTAGCTTGATTTACATATTGATCAGGTCTTTCAATTTTATTGTCAGAGTAAATAATTTGTTATACATTGAATTTTAATGCTTGATTTGTGAATAAGCTAATAATTTTTTAATCTTGTATATTTTTATTTTGTTCACATGCTTTTTCTTAATTATATGAGATTACAGGAAAGCTGATCCTTTACCATAAGATGTGGCATAAGTATTGCATGACTTTAGTAAAACTAATTAAATCATATATGAGAGCAAATGATGGATCGTAATAAATATTATCAGCTAAAATATTTAAGATATATATTTTAGTAAAAAAACTTTTATTTTTTTTAGAATGCTTGTATTTGTATTAACAGTAGAAGATAAGTATTAAAGATTATAATATCGAAGGTCATGAAGCATATAAAAAGACTCGTTATTTTTAGACATGAACTCGATCGACTTCACATATTCAACTATATCGAACAATAAAAATGACCTCATCAAGTATGACTGATCTTATGCAACATGCATAAGATTGAGATAAAAAACCATGGACAAAGCATATATGCCAGCAATGGCAATGGAAGGATGCATGAGATTTTTGAGTCCACCCTCCATCGATTAGAGAATTAGGGTGAAGTATATTGAAGGGCATGTTGGTCTTCTTGTAGGAACATTTAGAAGCTCACATCATGACTTGGAGATAACCTTTCAATTCATAAGGATAATTAAAGAGTTCCAATTCATAGTCCTTCCTCCACACTTCACATCATAATGGATGCATATTTGAACTAGTTGGAACATAAGACAGACTTGTGACCTCATAAAATGCATGATTCATATGGTATCATATCCACTCACCTTGCCATTTTTTTTGGACCTTCCATACAACTCCAACCATTCCAGAAAGTCTTTGTATCCTCTCTTAACATGTGCATATCAATCACTGAGACTTAATGTGGTGGAATATTATGGAGATGTTCTAACTATGGTTTTAATTTACTACATAATTTCATTTCATTTTCCCCATCTCACCCAACTTTTATCTACTTCATCATCATACCCTCTCCTCCAAGAACAAAAAGACATATTATATTTATATATATATATTCAATATTTATAACCCAAACATACGATGTCCAAAATACTATTATATATTTCTCTCCACAGTCAAAGGATTCTCCTGATTGATTAAGATAATATTACTCTCATCATTACTGAAACATGTCCCGTATGGTGTTAACATATTTAAGTCTTGCGCATTGTCAATCAACATCTACCCACTAAGGGATCAATGAGAAGTCAACATATATATACTTCCAAATCAGTCATCTCTTCTTCTACAGGTATTCGATACAGTATCTATAAAGAAAAAGGCAAATTATGAATGGATCTCTCATCGTGCACATGAACAGCCCAATTCTTATCGTGATGCCCACCATGTTATTCTTGTGGCTGACTCGGTTGATGCTAATTGATATCTCAGTCTCTCAAAGGCACTTTTTTCCGCAGCTTGACAGGCTCCCTCCAACTCCTAAGTTTGACTCTCTCTCTCTCTCTCTCTCTCTCTCTCTCTCTCTGTGTAGCAAGGAGTAGACCAAGGGAGAGGTCACACGTGTTTCCTGCTGTGCATTGTCCTCCGTCAACGAATGGTTGGGTTGGGTGCTGCAAGCATGTTTCGTTTAAAGAGGGGAAAAGAAGGCATGCATGCAGTATCGAAGCCACCATTAGTCCCGTTTGGACGGCGAAGCTAACTTGGATTCATTCCCTTCGCCGCATTAACTCCACAGTAAGAGAGTCTGCACGCAGGAGCTCGAGTATCTGGAGGATGCTGGAAGCTTCTGCTGCTCTTGTCAACTGCTTGACTTCCAACGAGCTACGAACTCACGGGTCAACCATATAACCTATGGGCGTATGTGATAACAAGTCATCCCAGCCGCTGAAAACGACATCATTTGACTATTGTAGTGTGGCTTAATTAGTGCGTGTATATTTTGCTTTGCTTGGTTTGTCGACAGCCAGTAATTGTTTTAGCTGAACACCCAAATTATTCTTGAGATTAATCTTGCAAGTAATTAAGATCATGTGTACGAATGAAATGAAATAAATCGAGAGGATAATCTTATACTACTAAGGATTGAAAAAGTCTAATTATTTGATTTCTGACGTGTCGAACTTATCGATCAAATGGATGTGATGTGTCATCAGACAATCTACGCATCTCATATTAGAAGAAACTTGGACGAGAAAAAGTAGTATCTAAGTTTGACTCGGTGTCCAGTTCTTTGATCGATTTATGATGAGTTCGACGTTGGTGGTGTAGTGACGGTGTCAAAGTTTGACATACACTCGTGGCGGTTGCCGGTGTCTGATTTCAACTAATTAAATGCATTCCCTGTTTGACTTCGGTTGATGAACCGAATGCGTTGACTTTTTTGTTTTCTTCGGACGTCTCCTCACATTGTCGGGTGACGCTTGTATCTCCCAATCTTTGCCAACCCGTACATCCCAAATTCTTCCTTTTCTTCAGCGATTTGGGTCGCACTAACACGCGCTCAGAAAGAAACGTTTTCCATTTGCGTATATGGCGCGTCGTCACCACGTTTGGTCTCCCCAAGCGAACTGTGGAAGCGCCGCAGTTCTTGGCTCCTCCATCCCTGCCTCTTCGTCTCTATCTCCCGGTGGCCTTCCACAACGACCCGCCTCAGTCTTCTCTTTCCCACTACATGCGTCACGCTTGTATATAAAGGAAGCTTGTGAGGCCTCCTCCTCCGTCCACGAAGAAGGGAAGGGAAGGTAGCGATGAACTGCGATAACTCCTCCTCTTCCTCCTCCTCCTCCGTGTCCACCTCGTCGTCGTCATCCTCGACGACGCGCAACCAGCACCAGCCGGCCCCGTCGCCCAAGCGGAAGGCGGGGCGGAAGAAGTTCCGGGAGACGCGCCACCCTGTGTACCACAGCGTGCCGGAGAGCCGCGGCGGCAGGTGGGCGTGCGAGGTGCGGGAGCCCCGGAGGAAGAGCCGGATCTGTCTCGGGACATTCTCGACGCCGGAGATGGCCTCCAGGGCGCACGACGTGACCGCCATGGCGCTCCGGGGCGAGTCGGCCCAGCTCAACTTCCCCGACTCGGCCTGGACGGTGCCCCGAGCGAGGTCGGCCGTCCCGGAGGACATCCGCCGCGCCGCGACCCAGGTGGCCGAAGGGTCTGCTCCCTCCGAACCGTCACCGCCTGTAGAGGCGCCAACGACATCCCGAAGAACTCCGGGAAGGGATGCAAGGGCGGCGGAGTCGGAGGCTGCAGCTCCGCGGCCAGCTCCGGTGTTCGTGGACGAAGAGGCGGTGTTCAACATGCCGGGGTTGATGGAGGACATGGCAAGGGGAATGCTGGTGACGCCGCCGTCGATGCAGAGAGGGGTCGATTGGGACGGCGCCGGCGACGAATGCGTCTGGGACCTGTCGCTTTGGACGGACGAGCTGTGAAGCGTGACACAGTGATAAGCCTTCTCTTTCTTCCTTCTCGTAGTTGGATTAATAGCAAACACCAATGAAATCCTTTACACTGTCTTGGCTTTCACAAAGCGTGCAAATTAAAGAGAATCTTGTGATGCTATCAACTCATAGCTGACGTGAAAGAAATTTGTTTCATATCTAAAAGAGACGGTGTGCAGATGTACTCTTTCGCTTCGAATATGAACGCACGTACCTCATGATCTTTGGAAGCTAATATTAAATTTAATTCAAAATTTAAAATTTTTACGGCTAATATTAAATTGATTAAAATCAATATCATCTTATATGCTTTGAGGTTTTTTGCCGGCTAATATTATTGGTAATTCGTGTCTAAGAATAAGAACTTAAACAACAGTCCATCTCTTTTATTTATCCAAGTAATATAGCATTACTCTACATGAAGATTTAATAATATAAAATTTTACATTTTTCGATTTTTTTACTATTTAATAATGAACTATTATTTTGCATAAAAATATATTTTTCGAATAAGATTATAATATGTTTTAGAGATACCAAAAATATTATAATTTTATTTAGAAACATGTAACAAAGCATAGTATAGTAGATTGATGGTGACGTCTGCGCCTATCGCAAGGCGTGCCACGACGGAGAAGACGACTCGCTTTCCGCCATAGCTCTTTCCACCGATCCCGTTCGGTCGAGTTCGGACGGCACCGGTTGCAGCCTCCCCCGGGCTTGCTGAGATTTCACCCCCGGGGAAGAGGGGGAGCCGAGGGCGGAGCAGGACGCAGCATGCTCCCATTGGGCCAACAAAGGTGAGTCTTTTGGACGGTCCTGTGGCTTTCCATCTTGGGGTGCGACACCTCCACTGTGAGTGTCGTCATCCGAGGACCACGGCGGCGATAACGCGCTGCGCTCATCATCTAATAATCCGGTTTGGGTACGGAGGAGATAGGGGAAGAGAGAGATGAGTTATGGCTGCATATACTGCTTCCCCCAGATGCAGACCAGACGAGCAACCCGCTTCGTCCATGTCTGCCTTCCCCATGTATATCTGAGAGTTCGCTGCTTCCCTTGCTTCAGAGTTCGTAACATACCAATATATACCCCTTGTGTTCCGCGTCCGCAGCGGCCAGGAAGAGCGGACATGAGAGAGAGCAGGAAGGCTCGGCCCGAGCGGTCGGCTTCGTTCCACGGCCGGACGACGACGTTAACGGCCTCCCCGCTGGACCGCAGCCAGATTCGGCGGCCTAAGACCCAGCCGGAACTGCTGCCCCGGGGGAGGAGCGGCGCGGGAGAGGAGCGGAGGTTGCCGGCGAAGGTGCTTGTGAACGTGTCCGTGCAGCGCAGCCTGGGGCCGGTGCAGGTGATGGCGTCCGCGGAGTGGAGCGTCGGGGACCTGGTGGCCGCCACGGTCCGGCTCTACGTGAAGGAGGGGCGGCGGCCACCCATCCCCACGGCGGAGCCTTCCGCCTTTGGCCTCCATTACTCCCAGTTCAGCCTCGAAGGTAAGCAAAGCCCATCTCCCAACACAGAACGTATCATGTTCGTGCCACTTTGATGATGCCGATGATCATTACCAGGTCTGGATCCGGAGGAGAAGTTGATGGGGTTGGGCTCAAGGAACTTCTTCCTCTGCCTCAACCCCGTCCCTGTTTCAGAAGCAGCAAGCGCAGCAGCAACAGCTACCGCTGCCTCTGCAACTGGTTCTCGCTTCAAACAAGCCGAGAAGTCATCAGAGATCGGCATCTCCTGCTTCAGTTTCATGGACTTCTTGCTATAGTTGGGTATCTTGCTATATACGATGATCTGTGTTGACGTGATTCCTCGCATGCGTCTCCCGTGCGCCACAATTCCTCGTGTTTAATCTCCATTCTCCAAGATTACCCAAGACCACAAACGTACGCCAGATGTTTGACAAAATACGCATGCATATGTTACATCGCCTGCACAATTGCGAGCCACAACCGAATGGATATCATGTCGCGCAGAGACAACCAAGAACAACAGGACAAGGAAGCTACTACTACTGTGTCTCACCAATGCGGTGGATAATGTAGCCGATATCAACAAGGCGAAGCTGACCTGCGTACTTTGATCCAACGCGCGAGGATCCGTAGAAGGCTTTGCCTAGAGAGGCGATGATACTGATGACCTCAGCCGGAATAATCCCGGTATAATCTCGTAAAGTGAAGGGAGGATGACAAATGGCTATTTGCCCATTTGTCCTTTGGCTCATTGAAGAGGCAGAGAAAGATGAAGATGGAGCTGGATAAGAGCCATCATGTCACCGTGACCTTGTCCCAAGTACATGAATGAGAGATCTCTGCGGGTAATTCCGGCCTGTCACAGAAGCAACTTGCGCGCATGAGGCAGGTGAAATCGGAAACGTGGCTGGGTCGGGTGCGGCTCACCAGAGGGAGCAGACGGAGGAAGGACGGCGCAACCGGGACGACAAAGCCTGCCACCGTCGGGGTTCTGGCCTTCGAGGTGGGGCGGTACATGTCCAAGGTCGCCCAGCTGTGGCACGCCCTCAGCGACGACCACGTCGGCCGGATGCGCGAGGAGGTCCTCCGCCTTGAGGGCGTCCGGAAGCTCGTTTCCGACGACGAAGGGTTCCTCCTCGCGCTCGCCCTCGCCGAGATGACCGACGTCCTCGGGTCGCTCGCCCGCTCGGTGGCCTGCCTCGCGTGGAGGTGCTCCGACCCTGTGCTGCGGCGGTTCGACGCCGAGTTCGCGAACCTGGTACAGAACGGCGATGACCCCTTCGGCTTTGAGTACGCCGGGCGGAAGATGGAGCGCAAAGTGAAGAAGATGGAGAAGTTCGTCGCGACGGGCACGAACCTATATCAGGAGCTCGAGTTGCAGGCGGAGCTTCAGCAGGGGCTGCGGCGGATGCTGGCCAACCCCGATGCCTGCCGCCCTCAGGACAGCGTCACCTGTTTCCGGAATAAGGTGGTGAGGCACCGGCAACAGCTGAAGCACCTGCGCGAGACTTCCCTGTGGGTTCGGACCTACGATTACGTTGTCCGGCTGCTGGCCCGGTCCCTCTTCTCGATCATCGGAAGGATGCGACTAGTGTTCGGATTCCGGAAGTTCAATATGACGCCATTGCTTCTCAACAGAGCTGCTGAAGCAAGCCCAGAGGCTAACCCACAAGGCAGCAATAGCACGGTGAACATGAATCTTTCATCGTCTATGATCGATCCCAGGTCTCAGCCACAAAATGCTCCGGCCTCCACCCTCGGCGCTGCAGCGCTAGCGCTGCACTACGCAAATGTGATCGTCCTGATCGAGAAGCTTGCGACGTCTGCCCATTTGATGGACGCAGATGCGAGGGATGATCTCTACAGCATGTTAACCACAAGCATAAAAGCAGCGCTCAGAGACAGGCTGGAACCCTACGGGAAGAACTTGGCACCACCAGCTCGCAATCCCGCCCTCGCGGCCGAGTGGACTGCGACGGTGACAGGGATGTTGGAACGGCTGGCGCCGCTCGCTCACAACATGATCCGGTGGCAGTCCGACCGGAGCTTCGAGCAGCAGAGTTCGGTTCCAAGCTCCGGCATTCTTCTGCTACAGACACTTTACTTTGCAGACCAGAAGAAGGCAGAGGATGCCATTACTGAACTGCTTGTTGGTTTGACCTATTTATGGAGATACCGGCTTATTTATTAGAACAGGACCGAAACGTCTCATGGAACCGAAAATTCAGAAACCGGACCCTTGGCCGGTACTGTCTGTGATCGGGTCGATTGTGAGAATAAACCGACTGAACCGGTAGACAATATCGGGCTAATAGTGGCCCTTGAGATCCGGCCCAATAAGCAGAACAGTCTGGTTTTATCATCAGATATTATTATTTATGTCAGTGTGAACAACCTTATGCCGTGGCCTCGGGGCCGACGCGGCTTGTGTCGGGTCCGAATGACGGGGGATCTCGTTATTGCTGAAGTGGCCGGTCGCGCGGATCAGATCGCGTCGGGGTTCGTCGGGGCGTTCCGTAGAGCAAGCCTCCTCTGCTCTGCGTCCCGGGGGTGCTAACCTCGTCTTCTCACTTGCACACAGGTCGGGTCGGAAGCTCGGCCCGACCCCTCCGACGATCAAGTTAGTGATGTGAAGTGGTCTGTTTGCGCGTGTTTTTTTCTTCCCCCTTGCCCCTCTCAGGAGCAGAGTTTTTATATGGTGATTTACCGTGTCTGATGTGCCTGCTTGCAGGGAGCAGGTAGCGTCTAACACTGGTGCTGGCGTGGCGTGAAGGACCGAGTCTGAGCAGATCGTTAATGGGCCTCGGTTTGCATTCTGGTTCGTTTGACCAGGTTCCGTCGGGTCGGTTGAGGTGTGAGGCGTCGTCTGGGACAGTTGACGTCTGCCCGGGTCTTGTCACCATTTATTACCCTCATCATATTCCCCCCCGAAGGAAGTCATGCGTCGGCTATTGCTGGGGAGTCCAAGGTGTGGCTTTGGTTTTGAGAAACTGTACCGGCCGGGCATTTTGCCGGTCCGGCTAAGAGGGGTTAGATGTGCAGCGGTGACCCTAGGTAGGGTGCGGCCGAGGAGCACAGCTCAGTCGAGCAGGCCGAACAGAAGCTGTGGTTTCGGGAAGCATGAAGCCGAGAAGCACGACGTAGGCAGGCAGGCCGCGCAGGTGTGTTCTCGGGTGGCATGAGGCCGGGGAGCATGACACAGGCGGGCGGGCCGCGCAGGTGTGTTCTCAGACGG